TGCGTTTGAAAGTTCATTATTCCGTTTTATTTCGAAATTTCACAAAATTGCAAATATTCCGGACCATCATATAGGGGTTCGTTCGATATGTTTTGAGGCCCTCTATCACCTGACTTCCGCTACTAACTTTACACCCTGTATAAAGAGTGCGTAGGAGCACGCCACGATAAATCCATTGATTTATTACGTAATGGCTTTATTGATACAAAATTTTTCGATTGAACTTTGAAGGGAAAGTTTTGCTACTTCTCATTAATATAAAATTGAATTGGTTCAGAATATAAAAATCACAACATTATCTGAAATTTACTCTATTGAGATCCACCGTTTAATCACTTACATTTTTATTTTTGTATTACATGCTTGTTTCTTGGCGTTTTTGTTTCCCAGGCGTGGATAATATACATTTGATTTGGATGACGATGATGGAAGGATGAAATACATGTATATAACACTCTCATTAGTGTCCAATTTGTCGTTAGCCTATATGTCCGTCTCTATATGGTAACTTCATGGCACTTATAAGTATAATTTAAATATGATATGTGGTTATATGATTTGAGGTCAGTATTTATAAGTAAGTTACGTAAGTAGGCGTATACTCTATTGATCTACATCATGAAATCATGATATAATTTGTTGAAAATCCTCTGAAACACATTTATGTCAACAACGATGCTTAACTTTTGTATGTTCTTTTTCCGGTTATTTTTTGGCGAGACCAATAGTACTTTTTTAAGATCAGAATCCGTATCAAAATTCAAACTTCTCTTTTAGAACGCCTCTCTAGCTCGTGAGCTTCTATTGTCAGTCAGAAGTTAGATTTTTTTTAAATTTCATACTCCTTTTCTGGACATTTCCTTTCATTCCTCATGACTTTAGGACAACAACAGCTCAGTTTTTGTTACGCCACTGATAACAAACATTTTTCGCCACCATGTTGCCATGTTTACGTTTGTTGTGATCTAAAGTGTATCTAACGAAGCTACAAAGTAATCGTAAACAGTGGTTGATTCGTGATCAACGCGTGATCGGTAGCCATGGCGCTCTGTCGGCCTCTTCCTGATTGGCTTGTAGCGACGAGCCTCCAGACAAAGTCGCACGGTTGCCACGCTCGGCGAGTTTTCGCCAGAGTGGTTGATCACATTCGCATGGATCACAAATCAATCTGTTGGTGCAATACGTGCAATAACTGTTGTAAAGGACATTATATAACAATAAATGGCATCACAAAGGTATATTCCAATTTGATCTGCAGCAAATTATGAACGGCATATACGGAGATGCGAAAACAAGCTCAAAAAGGTGAAGAAAATTTTTGTGCAATCTTTATAGTTAAATTTTTCCTAAGAGATAGCATCAGTGAGGAAATTTTTTTCTATTGTCTTATTTTTCACATTAATGCGATGTCGAGGTATGTGGCCCTATCGCAATTGAAAATAAGGTTTCGATAATCCTTCCATAAAGTTTCGATGAGTACATCTGAAATAACCTTGAGATATTCTTCAGGGAAATACAAAAATCTCCTTTTGTGTTTTTTTGTGCAGATTTATCTATTAAAATCCTATCCGCAATCTATTTTCCGTGCACACACCTTCAACCGAATGTATGCCATATATGATTTTACCGTTTCCAACTTTCACCAAGGTTAATAGGAACCATAACAGCTCCCTACCCTTCCCCCCTATAAGAATATCGATTTGTAGCCTCACATTTCAAGGTTAGACTTCTTGTAATGTTTCTGTTCAACATTCGGCGATTTCTGACAATTTTCCCAATAAAACATGATCATTGTGACATTAAGCCTGGCAACGCTGCATAGTAGAGGGAACTCTCAGCGTCACGTTGATGGTTCGTCACCACGCACAGGATTGTAATCAGTTACGGATACCCGTTTATGAGCGCGAACGTTTTATGCACGTCTTGACTTGATTTTTCTTGCGGAAATTTAATATTAGTCTAAAATGTCTGACACAGATACAGCTGATGAAGTGGTTGAAATCAGCTTAACGCCACCCAGCAAAAGGGCTAAAAAACTTCATCTTAGCGCAGGTGAAAAACAAATTATTCTAAATATCTACAAGAACCAGATGCAAGAGAATAGTGGATTGGCTATAGAAAATATCGTATGTAAGGTTGCTGAAATTTCTGGAGTAGGTCGATCAAGTGTTTACAAAATCTTGAAGGAATATAGACAAAATCACTCACTATCTGAGCCAAAAACATATCCAGCGAGAAAAAAAATCATCGAAAAAATAGATGACTTTGACAAAAGTGCCATTAGAAGAAAAGTACATCACTTTTTCTTCAGGAATGAAATACCTACAATAGATAAAATATTGAAGCAAGTGAATGATGATGAGGACCTGCCAAATTTTAAAAGATCTACGTTCCATAAGCTGTTGAAAGAACTAGACTTTCGATTTTTGAAAAGAGGAATGAATAGTTTATTGATAGAAAAGGAGGAAATTGTTATCTGGATGAGAGAATACCTTAGAAAAATTAGGCAATTCCGCGCTGAAGGAAGAAAAATTTATTATTTAGACGAAACATGGGTGAACGCGGGGCATACGCAGGGAAAGGTTTGGGTAGACAGATCTGTGAGGTCTTCAAGGCAGGCTTTTTTAGATGGCCTTTCGACGGGATTGAAAAATCCTGCAGGTAAGTTTCGAAGTATATGAACTTTTTTGGATGCAGATAATTCATTTTTTGATCGAATCAATGATTTGGAAGCTCCGAACTCAGTTTTGCTATCTCATCCAAGTTTCTGAGTATTTCCTTCACCCAAAAACTAATCTAAGACCCTATCCTACACTAACCTAAAAAGAGTAAGTTGCTTAATTTCGTCATTTAGTGCGCTCGCTGAGAAGTAAAATAACTAATTACTTTCAGGCAAGGGAAAACGCCTGATCATTTGCCACATAGGTAACGTAGATGGATTTGTTCCTGAAGCATTGTGGGCATTTGAATCCAAAAAAACTGGAGACTATCACGAAGAAATGGATGGTAACTCATTTGAAAATTGGTTCAAAAAAATTTTGCCGACACTTGATGATAACGCAATTATTGTGATGGATAATGCCCCGTACCACTCCAGAAAATTGGAAAAAATTCCAACAATGGCCACCAAAAAGGCAGACATTCAACAGTGGCTTGTCTCAAAGAAGATCGACTTCGACCAAACAATGGTCAAAGCTGAGCTGATAAATATAGTCAAGCGACATAAGTATAAATATGATTTAAAAATTGTTGACGAAATGGCCAAAAACCAAAATAAAACGATTCTCAGGCTGCCTCCCTATCACTGCGAACTGAATCCTATCGAGTTGATTTGGGCCGACAACAGCACTTTTAAGTTTTCTGACCTTAAAACACTGTTTGATGTTGCTGTCGATAGAATTACGCCAGCAAAATGGAGAACATGTATTGACCATGTCCAAGAGAAGGTTGAAACCAAAATGTGGGATATGGACAATATCATTGACACCCAAGTTGAACCCCTTATAATTGACATCAACAATTCTGATGATTCAAGCTCCTCGGAATACAGCATATAAATCGATTGATACCATTAAGACTGGCAGTTTAACAGGCTTTTTGGCAAGACAGGTAAGTTCATTATAGACTGCAATCAAAGTGTAAGTTTCTAGTTATTAATGTGGAAATTCCAAATTTATAATTACACAAAATTAGGGTTAATTTAGGAGTTCCAAAGCATAATAGTGCCATTTTGACCTTTTTCCTATTTCTCATGTAAATTTTAATAGCAATCAAACTAACAAACTTTATGGAGTCTGTAATAAACTTTTGTACTACTACTACTACATCTGTAGTTTCTATTTGCTCAAAAAAATTTGCTCTGCATTGTGAATAGAAGGTGAAGTTAATAATAAAATATGAACAATTTCAATTGAGATGGTCCACAAGTTTTTTTCGTGTGCGTTTTAGTAACATTTTGCTGAAATGGTGAATACAGAATTTTTTGCACTGATTCCTAATGTCGAAATATGATTAGAAAGGCGTGGTATATTCCTGATAATTTACTATGCTTCTGATAGAATTTACAGCAACACATATCCTGTACGACATTTTTTGATAGATCAGTCACAATAGCTTGATACGGCCCTGTAGCGTCTCCTACGGTTAAGTTCTTGATCACGTGCAATACGGGTGTATATGTTTGATTTTAGTTTGTTTCTTCGATGGATACAGTTTAGCCTCTAGCACGTGTGGCCGTGACATATAGGCCCATATGACGTCAACCGTCATTTGCATCACTGAGCTGGGAAAACATTTTTATACATTTTTATAAAATCCTCCATAACCAATAAAAGAACAGAAACGTCATTTACCGAAAATTAATATAATTTGAAATATGTTTTGTCCACTATCCATATGGGAAACATGTAAACAGGCCACGCCTCAATCAAAGTTCAAAGCTTTTTCCATTATTATTATTATTCTCTTAAGAAATTACAGTTTGTTTATTCAAATATATTTGCGCTATTAAAACGTTAAAAGAGAAATTTTCAGGTTATAGTGTGTATGTAGCATATATTGAGTAAAGCTAAATAATCAACGATTAAATTTGAACAAAATAAAGTTGTTAGTATAAGCATTTTTGTTAGTTATTTAAGAATTTGAAACAATCCACTTACAAAGCGAGATTAAAAAAGCAGGTTTAGCCCTATTTATGTTGGGGTCAATTCATTAGAGAAAAATATAAACAAACACAAACAATAAACATAACCTTTCAACAAACCTAGATAAGACCAGTAGGAATACTTAAGGCGGCCTCAGACGCCTTTTTCAACAATCTTGCCCGACGAGCCAACCGTTGCTGCGATTATGTAGATCCATGGCCGATTATACTCTAAAATCGACCATGGTAGATCCAAACTTTCCGATAACTAACGAAGTTTCTCGGATTGACTAATCATCCTTTGTACAATCCGATTTACAAGATCCACAACCATGGTCAACACGTCGGACAAAACTGTCATAGAAAAGGGACGATGTCTGTGGATGGCTTTACATTCCATCTTCCTCCCGTGTTATGATATTAAACGTCAATGTCAATTGGTGTCATGTGTCAAATCGAATGATGGTCTGTCTGAAAAAATGAAAAGCTGTTTATTTTCCTCAACAAAAAATAAACATGTTTTAAAATAATTTCTAAATGATTACGAGAAAAAACTATATAAAAATCATTTCTATTGAAATTCTCCTGAATATTATGAGTGATATGTAACAAAAGCAGGAAAACAATGGGGGGCTATGTTCCATTTTCAAGAATCACTGCTGTTTTGTTTAGGATGATTCTTAAAGTTTGGGCTTATTCAGGGCTAGTTTTAATAGTTTGTTTTCTACTTTATTATATGTATGGTGGAATATTTGCAGTCCTGTTGTTATTTTTTGCTGTCACGGGTAAATTATGCTGTTATATGATGACTCAAACTCTATACAAAATGTCATTTTTAGGTATTTTATACCAAGTTCAAGATAGTCTACTCTTCAATCCTGAGTTACCTAGTCATTCCAGAGTCTATGTACCAATACCATCCACATTCAACCTTCCATACGAAAGTATAGTAACAAAAACTGCAGATGGCATACAAATAAACATGTACTTAATATTACAACAAAAAGATAGACAACATACAGCCCCTACCATAGTATTCTTTCATGGAAATGCAGGCAATATGGGGCACCGCTTACAGAACTGTGTTGGGCTGTACCACAATTTACAATGCAATATACTTTTAGTAGAATATAGAGGATATGGTTTGTCAGAGGGAAGCCCCTCAGAAGAAGGACTTTATACTGATGCAAGGGCTGCTATAGATTATCTTTACGCCAGAAGTGATATTAATCATTCTGAAGTTATTGTGTTCGGAAGATCTCTTGGTAAGTGGTTATAATATACAGGGTGTGTGCAAAGTTGGGGTTTTCCTTTACAGGACGTGTAGATCTTGAAAACATAAGCAATTTTTCTTAGTACCGTATATACACCAATGTCTTAAGGGAACCGAGATAAAGGGCACTGCAACATCAAAAATATCTGAATACCGTCCTGTAGCCGCGACATCCCCCAGTGGTACTAGGACACTAGCTCAACCCGACGACAGAACTGTGTCAGGTCAGTATGCAACCTTCAACTGACGGTTACGGTCACGCGTGTAGAGATAATCGCGTAACAAGCACTAGAGACGTGACTAGAGGAGTGCAAGTATCAAAAACTAAAGTGTTGCAAACGCTGCGTGAAGAGGGGCTGTATCCGTTTCACGTCCAACATGTACAAGCACTTCAACCTGACGATTTTCCAGCAAGAGTGCCGTTTTGTGAGCGGTTGTTGCATCAACATGACAATAATTCGGACTTTTTGAAGTGCATATTGGTGACAGACGAATCTACGTTCACGCGTAATAACTTTCGCAACACTCATGTTTGGTCAGTAGAAAATCCGCACGCTGTCCGTCGGGCACATTTTCAACAAACATTTTCGGTGAATGTTTGGGCTGGCATGGTGAACCTAGACCTAGACTTTTTACGCAACATTTTGCCTTCCTTGTTTGCCTGCGTCTGCTCGGTAGCGCATCAGCTGATTTCATTTTCTGTTGGAGCGGTATGATTTCGGGCAGAGACGTACTTAGCCCTTCTCGTCAACTGGAGGGTGAGTACTTTTTCCTTTATTTTTTTTACTTGGTCGCCCTCGTTTCACTACACATTACCTTTGTTATTTCAAGGGTAGTTGTTTCTGAAAAGTAAAACCCCAACTTTGCGGACACCCTGTATATATTATATGTATATATATATATATTATATGTATATATTTTCACTTCAATATGCGTCTGCCCTTAGTGCTTATTCATCCAGCCATGTTGCAAAATCTAATCTTAGCTGATGAGTCCTGTTCATAAACTACCTCTTTCCCAAATTTTCCTTGTATGGGTACTTAGCTGATGAGTCCTGTCCATTAACAATTCCCTATTTCACAAGTATCCATCATGGTACAATGACAGCTGGTTATCTAGTAATATTTCAAAACTCCCCATATTGGCAAAGGAAACATAATTATGACGGATCCCTCAATGCCAGATGGACAGAGCCATATCTTGTTTTGGTTTCTTGTATGCTACAGATTCATTTTGTACTCTTTTATTTAGAAAAGTTCGTTTACATATGAAAAACAAAACGCTACAAACAAATCTCTGCTAGATTTACTCCCAATTCATTATAGCCAACCTTGCAGGCTAACACAAAAATGTCACTTGTTGATCAGCTGTTCACCTCAGTAGACATCAAACCATGATGGAAACTCATGGAATAGGGTATACCTCTTTCCCAAATTTTACTTTTCTAGCCAAAAGGGTTTTCAAGATTCTATTCTGACCTGAGCTGACATGTCCTGTTGATTGAGTAACTCCCTGAAAATTTCATTTTCACAGATAAAATAGTTTTTGGGATTATAAACATAACTTAAAAAGTGATAAGATGCCCTAAAAAACTGTCCAACACCATCTTATTATTTCTGGAAAAATTATAGACAAAATGTACTACTTAGTATTGCTACACTGCCTCAAGAAAGTTAGCCCTTAGAGGTGGAATTTCCAAAATTTCTCTGTAAGTGCTCATCTACATTATGTCAAAAAACCCAATACAAAAAATACATATTTTTATCCTTAATTGAAAGAATAATAGCTCCCCCACAGTAACTATAGTAGGCTATACCTGGCTCCAAGATCTAATCTATATCTATGCTATTAATCATCAAAATCGGTTGAACTGGCATGAAAATGGAACACACATACGCATTTATAATATTAGTAGGAATAATCTTGAGTTATCTCAATTATTTGATATTGAATATTTTACAGGTGGTGCTGTAGCAATAGATCTAGCAATAAGGCCCGAATATGTAGGCAAGGTTTGGTGTTTGATTGTTGAAAACACCTTTACAAGTATACCAGATATGGCAAAAGTTTTACTAGGATGGAGGATTTTGCAGTACTTTCCATTATTCTTTTATAAGAATAAGGTAAAATTGTTTTGCTCTATATAATGTATATAATGTATCATAATAGGACATGGGCGCCCATTGGGGCGTGAAATAGCAAAGTTGAAGTTCTGTGTCTAAAATCTGCTATCTTGATTATTAGCAATTAAAGCTGTTGAAGCCATGGAATACCAATTTCGAAGCTCAAATTTTCGTTCTAAATTCACTAATTCCAGTGTCACTTGCGCTGGTAAGACAAATCAAGAGGCACCTCAGATAACAACATCCATTTGACCCCTAGAATAGCAACTTCAGAGTCAAAAAAAATTTTCAATTAAAATCCGCTAATCTGACTTTATAGAACTTTAGTTCACCCAGTTTCCCTCGCCCTCTCAAGACAAATCTCACTTTACAATCTGTAGCGCTGAAATAAGATTTCAAAGTTGAGGTATTTTATTAAAATCTGGCATTTTGTTTACATAAAATTTTATCACATATTCACAGCTAAGACGAATCTAACAATACCTCATGCCCATCCCAAAAAAAGGATCTAAGACCGACCCTTACAACTACAGGCCTATAGCTCTGCTTTCTGTTATAAGTAAAGTGATGGAGAGGTGCATAAATCGCGAGCTTCTGGACTACCTCGAACGTCACAGCTTGATTAGCGACAGGCAGTACGGTTTCCGGCACCAACGATCCACAGGGGACCTCCTAGCTTACGTCACGCAATTGTGGAGTAAACTCATCCAGTCTCATGGTGAGGCTCATGTCGTTGCTCTTGACATCACGAAGGCGTTCGATCAGCTGTGGCACGCTGTCCTCTTAAGCAAACTTCCATATTATGGCCTCCCAGAAAAGCTTTGCAGATGGGTGGCTGACTTTATCTCTGGCCGCAAGATATCCGTCGTAATTGACGGATTCTCCTCTTCATCCCACAACGTCAAAGCGGGTGTTCCCCAGGGATCGGTCTTGGCTCCAACACTGTTTCTCTTACATATCAACGACCTTTCCTGCACGATCAACCCAATGCACAGCTTCGCTGATGACAGCACTCTACATGCAGGAATTCAGAGTGACAAGCCGATCTCTGCCGCTGAGCTGGAAAAAAGAAGACTAGCGACGACTTATTCTCTGACAAGAGACCTGGAGGCTATCACTGCTTGGGGACTCAACAACCTTGTACAGTTCAATGCTTCCAAAACACAGTACTGTACTTTGACGAATAAAAAGCGTCCTAGCGCTCATACAGTTTCGATGGACGGCCGAGTTCTACCAAAGAGCCATTCATTTCGGCTGGTCGGAGTCCAGATCACCGAGGACCTGATCTGGCACGAACACATCTCGTCAATAGCTGCAGCAGCTGGGAAAAAGCTAGGCTATTTGTTTAGGGCTAAGAAGTAATTTTCTCCGCATGACCTACTCGCTCTATTCAAGGCCCAGATAAGGCCTAGCCTCGAGTATTGCTCACACATTTGGGGTGCTGCCGCCCCGACTACATTGTCCATGCTCGATGCTGTCCGGAGGAGGGCGGTCCGACTGATCGACGACTCTTCTCTAATAGACAGTCTCGTGACTCTTTCGCACCGGCGGGCCGTCGGCGATCTAGCTCTTTTCTATCGCTACACCAACGGGCTGACGCCTGACTTCGGCGTCCCATCCTAACCGTGTCAAACTTCGTACATCCAGAACTGGCCGATACGACCGCTCCTTTGTCCCGAGGGTGTCTAGATTGTGGAACAATCTACAAGAAGAAGGCTTTCCCAGTTCTACTAACCTTAGGCAGTTGAAAAATCGTATTAACAAAATTTATTTGGGATCATCATAGCAGCCGCGGTGTTCCGGCATTTAGGCTTCTGTCTGCGCGGCTGTTTCGATATAAAAAAAAAATATCCATCAAGCCATTTGGACTGTAGCTGAACTAGCGTTTTTTCTTTGAATGCAAATGAACTTTTTTAAACAAAAAGAGTTGTTAGCAATTAAAAAATAAATCTGTAGCGTACAAAGAACGAACACAAAATATGGTGATCAGCTATTATTCTACCCTAATGGATACAAGTATAACAGTCAATATATCTTATTTTCAGTTCCTCTCATATCAAAAAGTGAAGCAGTTGAGGATACCCACCCTGTTCATCTCTGGTCTAGCTGATATCCTAGTACCACCTAGAATGATGCTGGAACTGTACAACAGATGCGGCAGCATCAGAAAACAGATTTTACATATTCCCGCAGGAACGCACAATGAAACCTGGCAGATTCAAGGGTACTACCATTCCATAGCAGTGTTTTTGCAAAACTGCAGACTGAAAAGTTTTGCCGAATCGGACAAGCGCTGTGAATCTGACACGTTAAAGAGTATGTGGACTAATGTGCAGGACGTTTAGTATTAGCTTTTTCTTTATTTGAAAATTTGCAGCACAGCTATGAAGAAAATTTTAGTAACACAAAGTTTTTTGCTTAGGGATCCACCAATACCGATATGTCTAACGGCCGAATTTACCGACATATGAATCGGCCATATGACTGCCCATATGCCAATATAGGCCAACTGATATAGATAGCAAAGTTAAAAACGTTTAAAATCATGATGAAACGAAACTCAAGAGCGATTTTAAGTCTTGAGTTTTGACTTTCTCATACTGCATTAAACTTGTAGCAACTGTGACAGATAATGCTTTGCTTACATAAAGGTGGATAAAGAAAAATGTGCATGCAGACTTTTTTGAATTCCACAGTCACATGTACAATTTGGGCTGTCGTATTGACTTGCATGGAAATTTGTTCAGGTATACAGATACATCTGTAGTCAGCAGCCCAACTTTACAGGCCTACTTATCAACTATATGTTGTGGGTGTGGTCCACATACTCTCCTGAACAAAAATACACTCGACCATGTACGAAAAGAAACGAAGAATATCTCCAGTATATCTGCCTCTTATATATCGATATCGGCGAAAATCCTATACCAGTCCATTTTGATTTGAATCTTGAGTGAAATTTTCTTGTTTGATAGTACCATAATCAATTTTATGAGGAACCATGCTTAATTATTGTATTCATGACCATTTGTGATGAATGAGCATTTTTTGAAATTCATTCTTTTATGTGCTGTAAATCGAGTAAGCACTTGTTTTAAGGGTCAATTCTTGGGTACATATTAAATTCAATCGGGGAAACGGCCGCGGTTGTCGATGGGTAGTGCGTCAATTGATCGGCAGTCTGTATGACGTCATAGGTATGCATTGCGGAATTTTGACGTAATTGTAAGGGCCCCCGCAGACTGCAGACTTTCTATCGGCCACTAGTTTAGTCGGGTTGTCCTGCTAGTGAGCACACCGTGACAACTAATCAGTTTGGCCGGTGAAGAGTGTGCAGACTAGCCAACAGCCGGCCGACGACGACTATACCGAACGATACTAGTTTGTATCTGACTGTTGAAGTAAGCGGTCGCACAACGAAAATAATATACAACATTGTCCAGAAATGTTATTATTGCTCTCATAGAAGGGAGAAGAACAATCAAGAAGGGATTCCAAGAGTATTGGTGTGATAGATTAGTTAGCGGAAATTTTTACACAATGCATTCCAAATTACTTGATTACCCGAAAAGACACGACCGACCGACGCCTAAACTCGGAGTGAACTGAACTACCAGCCGACTACACAATAATCGTGTGTGCGCAAGTGGAAGTTGGCCAACACTGATTAAGCAGTTGTCCAATAGTTGGCCGACAGATTATTTTGAAGGGAATCGGGAAGCCCGTCCAAAATTTTTATTGGCCGAAACTGAATCGCTGTAATGTCCGCATATGCATACCTCTCCATACTGATTAAGAAGCCAACCAAATTATCGGACGATACAGTCTGCGAGGGCATTAGCATTTCGAGAAATCCTTTTGTTATTGTCGATGTTTGGATGCGGATCATTTGACGTATATTACACCCTATGTAAGAGTAAATGTAACCCGTTAAAGCTTATCTTGAGAACGGATTTTTAATAGTATCTATGAAAAAATATTGTCAAGAGCCATAGGTGGCTAATGTCCTAATAGTGAAATATCTAAAATGTATCCTGTGGTTTTCATGCTGATAATCCCACCTTTGTTTGATCGAATTAAACTATGTACATATTTATTTAAAATTTCTCTTTATTGTACGAAGTTTCGGTCCCAACCAACAAATTCAAACAGATCAGAAGGAGTCAAGCTTACATGTTTACATTGCCCTGTTTGTCGCCAAAATTGCGAAGTTTTAGTACATATTTTGACTCATTTGTCTACCAATGACAATGCCGAAGTGACAGCGTTGTATCAACATAATAATACCAGTGGAAACATCTACCTTCATTAGGATTGTGCCATACTTAACTGTAATGCTGGAACCGCACTCTTGCCATTTGCCGCAAACTCCAAACCCCTACAAACGCTTGCCTTTTTTTTGAAGAAGCAAACGTCGCCGTCCACACGTTTGCGGGTGCGTCACTGAAAAGGCAACAGGCAAACATGAAGGACGTCGAACTTGTGTCTGCCGTAGCATTTGGCTTAAGCTATTTTGTTATAAAACCAAAAAAAAGTCAGATAAAACGAAAAGTACGACCAAGAAGGTGGTGGATGTTAAATATTCATATGAATCGTACCAGGTAAATGGTATTTGTTTTAATGAAATTGATATTTAGTTTCAAAAATAGTACCTATCACAAACGCTTGTGGCAAACTCCTTTTGATTTGCGACCAAAAAACCGACACCCGATCGGATCGGCTACAAGCGCTTTCAAACCCACGCAAACCAAGCCAAACGCTCTATCCGCATGTTTGCGTTTGTGACGATTTGGCAAGCGTTCGGTTCCGGCATAACAAGTACAATATCTTCAAATACGACAATTATCTGCAGACACTCGCATTTGTAAAAAATAACAGTAAATATACGAATTTAATGACAAAACTTCAATCCTCACTTAAGACTTTGAGAACTAGGAAATAAATCCTTGACTGGCTTCTTCTAGACTGAAAATCGTTGGTGGCCTTTTCCATAGTCAATTTGGCCATTGGGACCGATTGAATAAAGAGGAATTTTAAACACAGATGTGGTTTGATTTGGCCAGGCAAACATATTGGATTATCTTGAGCTGTTAAACACAACAGAAGAGACTCTCGGGATTGAGATGGATATGTATATGTGTACAGGCTGAATTTATGTTCTGCAAACTTCATTCAAGATGTGATGTTTAGAAAATTATTTTCAAATGTTTAAACTGAATTTTAGTTTTTATAGCCTTATCAGATGTCATAAACTTTTTGAGCAGTAGTTATTGTTGGGTCTACCAGATACAAAAATAATATGCTTTTCTCAATGATCTGTGACTAACTTTGTTTCCTTGACAAAACTCTGTATACCCATATTGTTTGACCTTGCAGAATAAAGGTACTCACAGTTAAGAGCTAACTATACCTACTGTTTGCATGGATATTATGAAGTGTTTATTTCATATATTTGTGATACATTTTTAGTCTATTTATTCCTTTCTTTATCTATGTTTTGTATATATGAATACTGAATATAATTATATATTTTGGAAGATATTTTTTTAAATAACTTACTACATAGCTTACTATTTGGAACACAATTGATGGGGTAGTAACATCTGTTTGGTGAATTCTCTTGTGAATGGAGAGGGAGAAATAATAAAAATAAATGAACAGTATGTACATATATAACATATATTAGTAAGTGTGTTACACATATTAAAATATTTTCACAAATTATAACCCAAATCTTGGATCCACTTCAATCCTTCTGCAGTGGTTGATGCTGGTTTGTATTCTAAGCCAATCCAGTCTTCATAACCTGCTACACTTTTCAATTCCTCTAGAACATATTTATAATTTAATTCTCCATATGTATTTGGTTCGCCTCTGTTAGGTACTTGAGCTACCTGTACATGTCCAATGTATCCTTTTAGCTCTTTCATTGTATTGGTAATATTACCTCTGATCATTTGTAAATGGAAAATGTCTAACATCAACTTCAAGTTAGGACTGCCCACTTTATCTATTACTGATATAGCCTTGTCATAGCTATTCATGTAATAATTTGGAACTGAATAAGGATTTATAGGTTCTATCAATCCTAAAATGTTTTCTTTCTCCAGAATTTTTGCAGCATATTTAAGATTATCCAGATATACAGAGTCATGCTTAGGAGAGATCTGTCCATCCACTTTTCCTGCCATTATATGGATCTTTTTAGCGCCCAGTGCTTTTGCATAATCTAGTGTGGTAACTAAACTGTCTTTGAATTCCTGTTCTTTCCCAGGGATGGCAGCAAACCCTAATTCACCTTTGGTAACGTCCCCAGTGTACACATTGACGAGTATTTGATCAATTCCAGCTGCATTTTTGGCATCAACAACTTGTTGCTTAGAAATTCCATAAGGGAATCCAGATTCCACTGCTTTAAATCCAGCGTTCTTCGCCAAATTATATCTCTCTAAAAAAGCCTTTTCTCCGAACATGAAAGACAAATTTGCACACAATTTTGCCATCTCCGAATGGGGATATTCTTACAATTGCTGTCATAAAAATGTTACTTATGCATTATCATAGCTTATTTCTTTGATAACGATAAGGACAGTGTCGTATCTTTAAGTATTTCTTGTTTTAGTGAATTGATCCCAGTTCGACTGTTCGGTATCCTCATAATCGTCAACGGCGCATCTAAAGCCGATCATAGACGTCCAAACTTTCCTGGTTTGGCTCCACCATGGTTGCGTTTCTATAAATAGGAACTTTCAGAGTTTGCCTGACATTTGTAGTACCATTGACCAATCCTACTCGATAAAAAGATTAGAAAGGAATTTGAACTAGCCATAGATTGACAAAAATCGCGACTAGGGATTTTAGCAAAAAATCAATGACGTCTGTCACCGGTTTTATGACATCGTTCTGTTTAAATTTGAAATAAGACGTCACTATAATCAAATTCAAGCGGATAACCAAATGGAAATGGTATTTACCATTTTGGGTTGGTATTTACCAATCCGTTCAAGCGAGTGTAGTTATCAGTTTGGTTATAAGATCCGTGACGTCACGAATCAGCTGTTATATGTCATAGTTATCACCGCAAAATTGTGGTATTTACCCAACTCAAGAGTAGTTTTATATTTCTGGTTATTATTTGAAATGTGACAAGTTAGAATTTTGCCGGGTATTGGATATTGTTATTGTACTTCAGCTTCATTTTTGAGAAAAATGATACAGGCTGACTTCAGTTTTACCATAAAGTGGAGCACCTTATTAGTTATACTCATTACGGTTGTTGGGACACTTTAAATGTATACTAAGTGACATATAAATCCGAACACCCAGTTTAAATGGTTTTATTTTAATAAAATTTTGTATAAGTACTTAATGAAGCATAATAAGTAAATGTTAAAAATTTCAAAATGATTGCACTGCTTTAAAGCCCTTTGACCTTTAATAATGTGCTACGCATTCTCCAACGCACCTAGGCATGCTTCTGATCAGGTGGTCAATGTCCTCCTGTGGTATCTCATTCCAGGCAACCACCAACTCCTCTCGAAGTGCTTCTAGAGTCTGAGGAGGACGTTGCAAATTGAGCAATCTCCTACCCATCATATCCCACACGTGCTCAATTGGGGATAAGTCGGGAGATCTTCGTGGCCATGGTAACAATGTGACATCATTATGTTGAAAGAAGTCTATTGTGATCGGGCATTATCTTGTTGGAAAGTTGGATCTGCCAGGGTGTCAAGATAGGGTAAAAGATGGGGTTCTAGAACTTCGTGGATATGACGCTGCGCGTTCATGTTACCTCTGATGAAGATTAAAGGTGACCTGGAACCATAAGCTATAGCACCCCAAACCATAACTCCAACAGTGTGATGAACATGTCTTTCAACAAAAAACTGTGGATTCCTCCTTTCACCACGTCGCCTTCTAACCCTGGCACGACCATCGTGCATGCCTAAACAAAATCGAGACTCGTCACTAAAGACAATACTGTTCCATTCCTGAACCCAGAGTGACCGTTGTCTGCACCACTCAAGGCGATTACGTCGGTGTTCTCGAGTTAAAGGGAGGACCCAGTGTGGCCGGTATGAAAACAAGCCAAAACTTCTCATTCGTCGGTAAACACTTCGCATGCCAATAGGTCTTCCGTGTTCTGCAAACCATTCATTTGCAATGGACCTGGTAGTGGAGAAACGGTCCCTTAAGGCCAATAATCTTAGGCGGCGATCTTCACGGTCTGTTGTTCTACGGCGGCGTCCAGTGCCCCTTGCTCTTTGCGTACGGCCTTCTCGAAGTCATGCCTGACAACACCTAACCACAGTGTCTACACTTCTTTGCACTCTAACTGCAATTGCCCGAAAAGAAAGTCCAGCTTCCCGAAGTCCCACTATACGGCCCCTATCAAACTCACTAAGTTGACGAAATCGTACAGGTCTCCGTACTCTAGGCATCGTAACCGATCGTAAAGGATGTCAAGAACCATAATCCGCCAACGTTGATTCTTTACTGCGGCTGAAATATTCATTTTTAGAGCGTTAGTGAATTAAAAAAGCAGTATAAAAACCGGAATGTCCAACTGATAAGGCTGAAAAATTTTTCACTTGTTATTTACAGTAAGATAAATACATTCACCAACTTTTATTAAAATAAAACCATTTAAACTGGGTTTTCGGATTTATATGTCACTTAGTATAGTTCCTATGCTTAACAAAGTATCCTGTGTAGCCATATACCACAAGAATATTAAAATATGGCCATATAAACTCACTAGATGATATCCACCTGTATACGGTTTTGCTAATTTCTTTTTTCATCATTTCTGCTGAATCAATAAATGTTTTCTTTGACATGCGGAAAAATTTAGAAAATTGAAAGTTATCATAGCTACAAAGCCATGGTTCCATCATTAAAAAAAAAATCTGTAAAAAACATTTCTCCCAAGAATATTATGAAAGGTTTCTTATTTAAACTTTCCACATACAGTTGTAGACGAAAAAGCACCGATTATTAAGTGATAATAAAATAATCAAGAGATTATATACGCGCTTTTCTAAAATAAACAACTTGCAACAAAACCGCGGTTAAAACCAACGCGTTCAAGCGATTCGTGTAACTGACGTCATCAACCCGTGTGTCATCTTGAACCATATAACCGCGGCAAATAACACAGAAATTTTGGTTATTCCCTTGGATTTGATTTAAAATTCTGTTTCTTCCTGTCGGCACGCGTGAACTGTCAACTGTGTTGTCCTGTCAACGTCACTGTCATTGAGCTACTGTCAAGGTGTCAAGCCACCAAGTGTAATGAAGATTTTGGAATCTTTGTTTTTTGATAAACCATTAAATAAGTCATACCAAAAGTATTCAATATTATTTTGCAGTACATCCAGCGTGAATCCTACAGTATTTTAGACGTGTGACACTTATTGAACTATTTTAACTCCGCCCTTATTGAAGGACATTTCTATTTCGAAAGTTGTGCTGTCATTTTGTTTGTTGAATAGTTTTACAAAAAAGTATGTCAAAATTAAAATCCGAATAAAAATTAGTGTACGGTTGATTGGGCATTTCTATTTCAGTGAAATCGTGAGAATGTTTTATGCGGAACTCTGCTTACATTGCAAATTCTCCACTCAACAATACTGCAGATAAGGAGTCTTATCAGACTCGCTTTGCCAGCAAAACATTCTAGAGCGTTAAACAATATGTTAATAAGTCGGAGGTCCAATTCATGACGAAGAATTAAATTTTAGTAAAAAATGTTATTCTCTGAAAGTGTACTTTTCATTTGTATCTTTGTTAGTACTCTGCTTGTATCATTCCAAATCTGTGTGTGTGAAGATGTGAAGCATATGACTAAGGAGGAGCGAGTGCTCCTCAGGTAAGTTTAATCTGTTATTCATCACATTTGTAATGAAAAAATTACCAGAAATTCATCTCTCAGTTCAGTAACTGCATCCAGTAATCACTGTTTAGCAACTAATCTGCACTTCACTTCTACATTGCATTTTTGATCAAAATACCATCAAAATCTACTTTTCTTCTTCAAATATGCTACTGATAAAGACCGATGAAAGCAGAGGTCAAAACTGGTTCACTATTTGTGATGCAAAAACAATCATAAAGCAGTCCACAGAGCTTTATGCTGAATAGCAGTAGCCATTTGACAGTTTGCAACAATAACCAACATACTATGAAAGCCAAGTGAAAACTGCTGACAAAGCTATCCCATGGCTACTGATATTCATCATGAAGGTGCTGGACTGCTCTACACTGGCTGAGCAGTCCCTTTGATTTGGTCATCTCAAAACAAAAATCATAGTCCGGCGACTTTGTTTTGGGTTTGGATCTTTTACAGTCTTTGGCTGTTACACCACAATGTACAATATACAAAATAAGTAAACAGATTGACCAACTATACCAATTCTTTCTGGCAAATTGCAATTGAAAATACTCAAATGAATTTAACAAAATACTGTTGACTGTATCTTCAGGCATTGCTGCTTTATATTGAAGAGCAACAAAAGTTAAACTCAGATTGTATGCCCATAACAAGCTACTAGTCATACTAGCAGTTATACGGGCAAAAATGTGGAAGACTCATACATTGACAAGAAAATTTTCAAGGCATCAAGACAAAATGAATTTTTATGAGCTTACATAAACAAAAGTCTATGCAAAGAGGCCAATGAATGTGCTACAAAGATGGATATATAATAATAATCCTGTAGTTTTACTGTGACAAGTCCGAAACCATGAAAGCACTTAAACATACTACAAACTTATTTTATTTTGATAAATGGAAAATAGATATAACTTACTGTCCAATTGATGTTTTTCAAAAGAAACTTTTTTTTTATATTTAATGTAAAAACACTCAATTTGAAAGAATGATCTTTAAAATAAAATTTTAAATTCCAGACTATTTGAGACTACTGTTATATTTTACCAAATCATTGCATCCACAGCAAAAACAATTTGTCATTATTTGTGCATTGCATCATATATAAAATAAAATTAAACTAAAACAGTGAGAAATTATGGTTGACATGATTTATGCAGTAAATGCATTTATTAGTTCATTCAGTAACAGAAATAAACTTAAATTAAATAATGTATTGTGAAAATGAGGTATCAACCTATACTAATATGTATATTGTTAGTATTGGGAAACTGAATGAGCAATATGACTGCCCATATGCTGATATGAGCTGGTCAATGCAAATTTTAATATTACATAAAATGCTATAACATGGACGATGTGTGTTCTCATCAATTATATCAATATTAGCCCATTTTTTTTAAGTTTTTTTCAAATTATTTTCAAACTGCTCTATTTTTCACATTATGACTTTTTCATACAGTATTAGATGTTATGGAACTGAAATACTACAAGTATGAATTTATTCACACATGGAAAAATCAATTTTATGTTATTTATGTTAAAGTTGTCAGTAAGTAGGCAGATGAGATAACACAGAAGATAATTCAGTGTGACCAGGAATTTTCTTTTTGATCTGCTCGTTTTTTACTGCTGATAGAGATAAAAACTAATGGAATATGCAGATTTGACATTCTGAAAAACTTGTAAGATCAAGCTGAGGACATGAGCAATTCAAGTACTGTTCTCAATTTCTGATCTGCTGGTGAACCCAAAACTTTCGCTTTAATAATCATCATCAGAATCCATATCACTACTGTTATAATTGATGGTCAATAATTTCCTACATTTGCATGTTACACACACATACACAGCGTAATAGCATTAAAACAAACATGATTGCATGATCCCCTAATGCTTGCAGTTGTATCGGCCTTTTGTTGCATGCCCAGCTTAGATAACCATTAATACCAAGAGAATTTGACGCGTTATCATTAACAGGCTTAACTGACTGAAGCAAAACATACCCATAAGGAAACATTTATTATCATTGTTCATAACACAATTTGCATTTCAGAGAGGAGGCGAGAGATATGTTTTATCACGCGTACAATGCATATATGGAGAATGCCTATCCTGCAGATGAACTAATGCCTCTTAGCTGTGCTGGAAGATACAGAGGAGTATCACCAAACCGAGGTGATATTGATGACTCAATGGGAAAGTAAGTTCAATAAATGCACCAAAGAATAAATTGAGAAATTCCTTCCTTTTTTTTATTCCAGCTTTTCGCTAACATTGATTGACACACTGGACACATTGGTGGTACTTGGTGATCTGGCAGAGTTCGCACATGCAGTAAAACTTGTTATTAAGGATGTCTGTTTTGACAATGACATTGTGGTTTCAGTTTTTGAGACAAACATCAGGGTTTTGGGGTAAGAGGAAATGTTATTGGTTAGTTTTAGTATTTACATGTGTTTTTTTTTAAATTTTCCCATAGGAAGCCTCAAAATATTATATGACTTTGTAAACTCAATTTTTGTTTCTTATTATTAGATTGTTACAAGGTAATAAAGTTGGTGACACATAGGTAGTTTAGAGCGTTGCATGCGAATATAACTAAAAAATCGTGAAGAGCCATGTTGGCGAATTTGAGCTAGAAAATGGCTTTCCTGTGTTAGCCTTGTATAATAACTTATCATTTTCAGTGGTCTATTGTCGGCACATATTCTGACTGATTATCTTCAACAAAGAGATGGAATTATGCCTTGGTACAAAGGTGAACTGCTCAGTATGGCAAAAGATGTGGGATACCGTTTATTGCCTGCTTTCAACACTACAACCGGCATACCATATGCAAGAGTAAGCGTTTTTTGAAGATTGGTGACACTAGTTACTGGTTATAATTGTCAAGGAGTATTAAATCGATCCTATCAAATTGCATTCAACTGATTTTATACTTGTTCTGCACCTAGTATGTAACTCCTAACGACAGGGATAGCAATATGATCATCATAATTGTCACTTTGACGCTAGCTCAGTCACTTCCTGTTCAATTATAGTAGTTGTGTGTTACCTAAACGTCAATATATTTGGGCTATGCGCTCTGAGCTGTGGCTATGATTTGAATATAATATCTGCTTCAGAGAAGGCTGAGGCCATACATAGCTTCAGTGGTCTAAGTGGTAAGCTCTATATTATAGGTCATTTTCCCTTTCATCTATAGGTGGCGTTCATAGCTAGTAGATATGGCGTGGGTTTAGCGACTAGTTAGTATACAAGTGACAAGCATGGCGATCAGATCGCTATCATAGCGATTATTTTACATAATTCGGGTGTCGACTTGTTCCATTTGAACAGAATTGATCTATTGTAGTAGATACATTCCAGGTATATCTAAATTTTTAGGTGAATTTGAAGCATGGCATAAAATCGGATCGTTTGGAGTATGCGCGCGAGACTTGTACAGCATGTGCCGGATCAATGATTTTAGAGATGGCAGCTCTGTCTCGACTGACAGGAGAACGGGAGTTTGAGGAACGCGCTCACAAGGCGATGGATGCCTTATGGAAAATGAGACACCGCGGTTCTGATCTCATGGGAACAGTAAGTATCACTAAATAGATACAAATAGTAAAATCACTCTGCGGTGGAGTAAACCTTCGGCTGGAGCGATCGCATTGCAGAGACTGTTCACCAATGAAAATCCGTCTGGTGTTAGCGAACGTTGGCTGCACCAGTTAAAAAGGTTTGCTGAGACTGATTTCACTGTTCTTGAATCAAGGTGTCCAGTACATTATTCTCGATGATACTTAAATTGTTTTGACTTTTCAGGTACTAAACGTGCATTCAGGCGATTGGGTACGAAGGGATTCGGGCGTAGGGGCAGGAATAGACTCCTATTATGAATACTGCTTGAAGGCGTACATTCTGTTAGGTGACAATAAGTACCTGAACAGATTCAACCGTCACTACAACGCGGTCATGAAGTATATCTCTCAGGGACCTTTGCTGTTGGATGTTCACATGCATCGGTAAGATAAGATTGGCGTCAAATTTGGATATATTTCTTGCAGTAGTAATTGAAAGAGGCAACTTTGAAGTTGTAAGGATACACTGAAATTTAAAGAACACAGGTCAGTATTGACTAAGTTTTCATCCAAAATTCATTTCCACGCCACTATTCAATATTTCAATTCTAATCTCAAGGGATCCAGAAAACTAGTACATATATCCAATAATGCTAGGCTAGCGGTTTGCTTCAAACATGTATTCGTCTGTCAAGTTGAATCTGTAATCTTAGGAAATACAGGGCGTCCCACAAGTCGACGTCAATCCGGAAACGGCGATAGGCCAAGTCATAATAGTTATCAGAAAAACATAAAAAAATCTAAGTCGTGAATTTTCAAATTATAAGCTTTTAAAAAATCGGAAAATCCACACCCTGTTAGGATCTTTCAGTTTCTATTTACAAATTTCAATGTTTTCTTAGATGGAGTGACAGACATTGTCATTCTACATAGTGACAGCAGGACAGATAGTAACGCCACTTTTATTAATTGAATACGAGTATTAAATTGACAATAAATGTTCGAACTGCCTTCCTTCAGCAGCAATGCAAGCGTGACATCTTCATAAAAATGATTGGGTTATCAAAGAGCAAATCGTCCATTATTAGAAATTTCAGCTGCTTCCTTTATTCCGTCTCGTAGCTCAGCTAAATTTTCTATTGGCTTTGAGTAAACTTTTTCATTCACTGTTTCCCAGAAAAAAAAAACGCCTGGATTAGTCAAGTGGCTACGAAATTGTACCACACCGACCTATCCATCTACACGGGAATTCCGCATCAAGATATTCTCTAGCTGAACGGGCATAGTGCACTGGGCAGCCATCTTGATTCAACCACATGTCTTTGTAAAAGCTTCCAATAAATTTGGTAAATGATTATGTAAAAAGGTTGGTCCATTCGTTTACTTCAAAACGATACTATGATTTATCTTGTCTGATCTAATGTGGATTTCTACATGTCAACCGTGAGAGTTGTGTAGATTCATATAACCTTCTTTTTTAAATGTCGACTCTTCAGTTCATAAAATTTTCTCTAAAAATCACGGATCTTCCCGGTGTCTCTGTAACATTGTTTGACAAAACTCTTGGAAGATAATCCCGGGGTTGTAGAGATTGTACTCGCTGTACGTGGTACGGAGCTCGTTCTTTCGCAAAATTCAACGGGCGATACGTTTGGACACTCCCGTGCTTGCTTCTATTTGACGTACTGAAGTACTCGGGTCTTCTTCGACTTCTTGAGGTACGAAGTCCTCGTAAGGAAAGGAAATTATTCTTTCACCACGTGCTTGATTTGGGAATTGTCCTTCTCAAAAACTCGGTTGATCAGGATGACGAGCAGCATTTGGATACCGCTTATGTTAAAGCCTAGCTGCAGCACTAGCATTGCATCTACATTCCCCATAAATGAGTTGACTGTTGGAGTATCTCTGAACGGCGCCAACAGGCATCTGGTGGCACTACACAATCATGAATTAATAAAAGTGGCGTTACTCTCTGTCTTGCTGTTACTACGTAGAATGACACTGTTCGTCACTCCACCTAAGAAAAAATTGAAATTTGTAGTAATGCGAACTAAAGGCTCATCACAGGTTGTACATTTTTCCGATTTTTTTAAAGCCTATAATTTTTTTATATTTGACGTCAATTTCTGGGACACCCTGGATATCAGTGTCAGCTACATTATAACAACAATGTGTATGTAATTTACTTTGACATAGTTAACATTTCAGTAGCTCACCCAGATGCCACAGTCATTCAAATTGAAGAAGTGTCAAACTTCTCTTTAGATGGAAACACTATTTGAGATCAGTTTGAAAATTTTGTCACTACATTAATTGGAAAAAAGTTACAAAGTAGATTATTTGAGGCAATTGAGTGTGCTACTGGTAATAGCATAATAGTCCATCTTACTCTAATCATATGTTTTTTTGGCAGTGGGTTAAAATATGTGTAAGTCATGTTAAATACGGAATTCTTGATAGTGGGATTTCAAATCAGACAGGTAAGGTTGGTAAGCATTCTGTAACATATAGATAATGTTAGTCAAAGAACCACGTTGAGTAGCATGCTATATTGACTATTGATGTGCTCTGTTGATCTAATATTTTTCAATTTTGCCAAAAATGTTTTCTAGCAATTTTGCATAAGCGTGTAGTGACGAATATTGTTGATCTGTCTATACAACTTTTGCTGCTATTTTGTTTCTTTTAAACAAAACCTCAATGAAAAATACAATCAGAGTGATAATATATCCCAAAAATAACAATCTGAAACACGGTGTGATGTCTTGCAAGCGAATGCTTCTGAATTTGCTGTTTTCCACTTTTATTTCGAGATTTTTGTTATATAAAGCTGCATTTGTGATCCACTTATCCCTAAGTCCAGTCTCAACGATTCTCACGATCCATGCGTTAAATTTGTGTATCATTGGGTGATGTTTTTTCATTATAATGCGACTTCTTACAAAGAAAACCTAGAACAAAATCAGTGAAATTATAATTGCTACTACTGTATTGCACCGCGAGAGGTCAGGAAACAACGTTAGAAGATCTGTCATAGTTATAATTTTTCTATGAGCCTCACGGTACCCAATGGGTGTTTAAGCCTTAGGCCTTCGTGGTAGTTGGAGTATAAATGAAATATTCGAATACAAATTTGAAAAAGCATATCCTGCAGCATGTGCGTTGTGCCTCGTATTGTTTTCACTTTGCACACCGAATGGTAGAGAAGTATTGTAATCGCAAACAAAATCGAAATTGACATATTATATTTTTTGGATCTCACATGACATGTATATAGCGAAAAACTATATCTCTAATTCCGTCTGTTTTTCTGTTGATTTATTGGCATAGGGACATAAATGGCCCATGTAGTCAGACACAATATTAGCGCGAACGTGTGTACAAAATTTCAGCTCATTTGGTCAAGGTTAACTGATTCAAAATTCAGTTCAATACATACATACTAACTAACATACACACACACACATACAAACAGGTCAAGTTAAATAAAATCTTGTAAAAAGACAGAAATATGTTAAGCATCGTGTGACACTGTCGCGCAACCGAAGTTGCGTACCTTAACCTTTCGCGTATTCGTCGGGAGCGAATGCATAGTGGGGGAAACAACTGTATCGTCGCGCACGCAGTTGACAAAAAGGGAAACATCGTTGGCCTGATAGTGGAATATAAGCGGTGTCTATATGATGAAATCTTTATCATGTGGATCAACTGAGGCCTGACGGTGCTGCAAATATTTCGTTGTCGTTATTTGCCAGATCAAACGACGATTGTCAGCTTGGAATTCAAAATTTCCCTAACCTTAAATCGACTAAGTGTCTGCTAGTGCCTTTTTTAGGGGTATCCACTATGTAAAACGTGACAGCAAATAAGAGCTGATTACTTAGTAACATGTTAGAACATCCCATATCGACAATCGACACACAACTCTGACGGATCTGTCAAAGCTAGAGCTGTAGACAAAATTGTATTTTGTTATGGTCTTTTGTACTCTACGGATTCACATTTCCTAACAGCGTTTTTAGTTCATCCTTCGCACACAAGGAAAAACGTTATAAGCAAAATGACTGCTAATGCTCGTGACTATATTTCAAATCAGGTAGTAATAAACCAAGATACACAGTTTTTTACTATGTCTGACATAAATAGTTCTGAATACGGTGCTGAGTTTTATGCAATTCATTATTGCCAACCCTACAGACTTTCATACAAAGATGTCATTCCAGCAGATGTCAAAACGGAATGGATACCCGTGGAAAGACCATATTCTCGTTGATATTCGTTTATTTTTATATTGCATGTCAATATCCCTGTCCGACATCCGCTATATGAATTGAGGTCAAGCCGTCAGTCCGTGTTGACATCTTTTGGCATTGCTGTCGCGAGTTACATTACCGAAACTTAAAAAAAATTACTTTGTAAACAAAATTATTTCTGACTTAACTCAAAATGAAATAACAAGATAACAATAAAATGGAAAATGTCTATGTTGCAAATTCTAAAAGGGTGAAGCTCCGTTCATTATGCTGATACATGATATACATGTCCGGTATGGACACATAACTCGCGCGACATGGTATAGACACCGCGCGACACAAGCCACGTGCATAAATATACTAGGTGCGCCATCTATTACTTTTTTTTACCTATAAGTTTATGTGTTACCATGTGAGAAAGTCATGTGGTATGCATAAATGAACTGTCAAAGGTATGCCATTTATGGAATCCATCGCTTACAACACACCAAAGCATTTTGGTTATCCAAACTTATTACGAAAACGGTCGAAATATAAAAAATACTTTTCGCAAACTTCGCACTAGTTTTGGCCGACATGGACGCCCTACAGAGCCTGGAATTCGTTGGATTGTTAATCGTTTTGAGGAAAGTGGTTCAGCTGAAGGTCGTAGACGGTACCAACATGCTCGTCCAGCTCGTACTCGTGAAAGCATAGCCGCAGTGAGTGAAAGTGTGCGAGAAGATCCAACCACCTCGACTAGGCACCGTTCGCAACAATTGTGAGACCACTTTACGCCGGATTTTACACATTGATTTAAACCTCCATCCATACAAAATCCAATTAACACAAGAATTGAAGCCGGCAGACCCTTCAACAGCGACGTGTTTTTGTTAATTGGATGCTGGAAAGAGAAGACGGATTTTCGGCGAAAGTGCTCGTTTCTGACGAGGGTCATTTTCACCTCAATGGGTACGTAAATAAGCAAAATTGCAGATTCTGGGGGGCTGAAAATCCACACCAATATCATGAACAACCTCACCATCCTGGAAATGTGACTGTTTGGTGCGGATTATGAGCTGGTGGCATCGTTGGACCATTCTTCTTTGAATCTCTGAAGACGCCGACGAATAGGTCATTACCGTCAACGAGGAACGTTATCGCGGCACCGTTCGCAACAATTGTGAGACCACTTTACGCCGGATTTTACACATTGATTTAAACCTCCATCCATACAAAATCCAATTAACACAAGAATTGAAGCTGGCAGACCCTTCAACAGCGGCGTGTTTTTGTTAATTGGATGCTGGAAAGAGAAGACGGATTTTCGGCGAAAGTGCTCGTTTCTGACGAGGGTCATTTTCACCTCAATGGGTACGTAAATAAGCAAAATTGCAGATTCTGGGGGGCTGAAAATCCACACCAATATCATGAACAACCTCACCATCCTGGAAAAGTGACTGTTTGGTGCGGATTATGAGCTGGTGGCATCGTTGGACCATTCTTCTTTGAATCTCTGAAGATGCCGACGAATAGGCCATTACCGTCAACGAGGAACGTTATCGCGGCATGTTAATAGACTTTTTGTGGCTACAATTGGATCGTATTGGTGCCGACGATCTTTGGTTTCATCAAGCCGGAGCAACGGCTCACACATTTCGCCAAACAATCGCCTTATTGCACACGATATTTCAAGACCGCATAATTTCACGAAATTCAGATGTCAGTTGGACCCCGAAATCGAGCGATTTAACACCTCGTGACTATTTTCTTTGGGGATTTTTGAAAAGAAAAGTGTATGCGAATGGTCCCCGGACAATTCAAGACCTAAAGCGCAATATTCGGACTGAAATTGCGGCCATAGACCCGATTATTCTGGGGAAAGTCATTGAAAATTTTGATGTTCGGATGTTGGCCTGTAAACGAAGCCGCGGTGGTCACATGACTGATGTTATTTTTCATACATAAATGGCATAAACCAACCTTCATTTATCAATAAGAAAAATTCGATTTCACCTCCTAAAAAGCGTGTTGATTTTTCAAATAGAAAAAAAAGTAATAGGTGAGACGCACTCTGTACTTACTGGATCGTTGTAAAGAACATCGACTTCATGCCGATTCTTGATCATTTTCAACCATAAATGATCTATGTGAACAACAAAATCTGAATGGTTAACATAGTATTCCAGTTTTCCATCTATCGGCAAATTCACTTCCACTGAATTACTCATGAACTTCTCCCTCAAATACTGACTTCTTCCGATTAGAACATGTTCACCAAGATGATACCCACCGACAATCGGCAGATTTTTATCAGCAATGTCGTCCAGATATTTCGGCTTAGGTGTTAGTTTTGGCTTGATTATCTCGGTGGTCAAGCCAGTCTGATAGAATATGGTTATTTCCATGAAGCAGATAATGAATACACCAAGCAGTGTATTGTTGCGCACCTGTATCATAACCGTTATCATTAACAGTATTGCTTCAGTCATACTACGGTAGATAATAATAATTATTTATTCGTGTTTGTACACAAAAGTGCTTACACATGTCGAGAAAACGTATCAGCATTTAAACAATAAAAAGCAATACAAAAAATCGTAGTGGTCGGTACTGATAATAGATGGCACTTTGTGCTGTCTTATTTAAAAAAATTTAGTGTCTTCGCCTGCGGTGTGCCAAAAGACATGAGGAAAATCTAAAAAATGTACCCTTAAGGGATGAATCTGGGTACGAAATTTTAGTAATAGAAGAAGAACCGTGAAACATGGACGTAATAGCGCAATAGTTCTGAGAGCGTACTTATTTAATGGTATTTTCCATTAAACAAGATTTATATAATTTATGAAGGAAAGTGTTATTACAATATTTATGTTCGCGTAATGGTTCCCTCAAGAAGAAAACTTATTAGGCCAGGATTTGTTATGCAATCATGATAACGGTCAAAAGCACTCATAACGGATATAAATCATTTGCTCAAAAAAATATCAGTAGGTATTTTACAAACCGTCGAGTGTCCATCCAGTTTGGATTTCAATCTGATCAGGTTTCCTTGGGACAACCTTGATCGACGAATTAGAACGCAATATTCGCCTTACAAAGGACGCTCTGACGTGTAAGTTTTCAGTTGAACGTCACGTGCGCCATACTGTAGGAGGGCGCCATTACATATGGTGCTGTCACCTCAGGGTGAGAGAAGCGGTGTCTCAGGAAAAGGAACTGTTCATCGGAGTTCCACAGGGCTTAGTATTGGGTCCTATTATTCCTATTTTACATTAATGACCTGCCTTTGGCAATCATAGCTGTTGCTTTCACCCTTTTCGCGGACGACACCACTCTCTTCCTTACTGAAGGCTCTCTGGATGAAGCAACATTGGGAATGGAAGCGGTACAGTGGGATATTGAGGTATAGTTCGATGCGAGTGGACTTCTGCTGAATCAAAGCAAAACCAAACAAATGGTGTTCTCACCACGAAAGCTAAAGAACAACCTTACTATGTTCAGAATGCACAGTGATGTTCACGAACACAATACCAGGTTCAAGAGTAATCTAATGCCAGAGTACTTCCAGCTAACGAGGTTCAGAAGTCTCCAGAGTACCAGATCATAAAATTTGTATCTGCCGAAAAGCATCAGATACATGTTTGTCAACATATTTAAAGAAAATGTAAAAAGCATCTTAATGTCTGGTGCTTTCTATAGTACGGATGAATTTCTCTGGCGAAGATTTTAAAACTTTTATTTTATTGTTTGATGTCTTAGTCTCTACTGTTGATTATGATTATTTTATTTTGATTTTAAGTCAGATTTGGCTTTTGTGTGTGTGACCTGTGCAAGCACATATGTATACCAGCACCAATAAATTTGAATTTGAATTGGTTTCCATTAACAAGATATGATGGCGCAACGGTATATCCACACATTTTTTGCCATTTTTCAAAATGCTGGAGAACCCTATTTTCCAGCAGGATAATGCCCACAGATTGCTACAGCTACAATGAACTATCTCAATACAGCTCAGCTTGGCCTCCAAGATCAGAACTTTCGCCCATTGTGTGCGGAATGATGAGAAGAGTACTGGCCCCTTTACCCCACCCTCCACAAGAACTAGCTGCTTTTTTGAACCAAGTACAGCTAACTTTGGATGAGATACCTCCAGAAGACATAAATCACCTCTTGATACTCTAATCTTTTATGCACTTATGAAACATCACTAGACCAGAAATTTCACACTTTTTTTCAGAAAACAAAAAATCCAATATGAAAAATGAAAGTTATTTTTCTTAAAAAATGTCCGAATATTGTCACATTTTAACAGCTGTCAAATTAACCGTTTTGGATTTACTGCCAAAAAACAAATTCCGCCATTTTCGGTTTTTCGCTGATATTTTCAAAACCAATTGACCGACCGTAAATCTGAAGCCGGTTATCGAAAGCACTAAGTTTCCTCTAAAACTTTCCCCATTTAACCTTTGCTGCAGATATAACATTAGCCGAGATCCCTGTATAGAGAAGCGAATCTGGGACACACTGTACGGAAACTTTTGAACAGCAGTGTACAATATTGAAAACCAGTACGTGCCGAACATCTTATATTTTGATCACGTTTTCTATTTTGACCACTGTACATCGGTTCAGAGCCAATGCAAGAGCGTTTGTCTTCCGGTATTGTCAGGTGATCTGCTTTATGCTACATAATATAAAACCATAATTTTTGAGATAACCTCAAGGTATACATACCTGGTGACATTTTTTTGTATTTACCTTGCTACACTGCAAGAGTAAAACTATATCGTTTATCGATTGGGCATAAGATGTTCCATAATAGAACTTCCAGACGATGATCAACGATAGAAGACTGATACTTAAGATTGTGATGCAATAAACATCGAATATTTTGAAGGTACCGCCCGCTTTTGCTCTTGGTGGCAGTAACATTAAATGATACGTGAAATGCAAGATTTCAGTGTAATCGCAGTAACATCCATTTATTCTAATTTCATTGGCCGCACCATAAAATATTGCATTATACTTGTTTGCATTGATATTTTCAGCAACCAAATCCCAAGATCCTGTATTCATGAACTGTTGCAAATAATTACCAAAATGAAATTCAACATTGGCACCTATTTGTTCAGCAAGTGTTGTAAGATACGGCACTAAGAATCCATGCTTTTGAGTTTTTTCCATATACATGAGCACAGCATTCGCTGAGAAAGTGAAATTACACATGTGTAATTTTTTAAATTTGTTATACCTCAATACATGTCTTCCTTCATTTTTGGATATGCTATATTCTTTCCCGCATTTATTCTTTTTCGAATATGGATTCCAAGTATAGAAGGCCGTTTTGGTAGTTACCACTGCATTGTGAATATATAAGCTCCAGAGTATTTTAAAAACTTCTGGTACGTCGCTCTCTTCCAACGTCTCGAAGAAAATTAGAAATTTTGTGTCGCAACTCCATTCTAAGGTATCGTTGAACATCCATATTTTCTTTTCCAAGGTTGCTACATTGTTCTCCAGCAATATGTAATCGGCTTTGGGATAAGAAAATCTCTCAAAAATCCTTGACCGACTTATGATCACTTTGGTTTGATTAGTAGATACAAAAAAGTCAGGAATCTTAGGGTAACTTGATATGACAATTGTATTTCGTACGAAATGCTTGTAGTATATTGTTTTCGCAATAGAATAATCTTCAAAAGTGAACGCAGTATGTGCTACTTGGCATAGTAGTACAAATATAAACATTAACAGGCACATGATCAACATTTCTAACAATTATAGATAAAGTGGACTGTGGTGCAGATTTTATACTCGTACGAGAACAATTATTTCTACATGGTGGGCAAATTATTCTATGGATACAAAAAAATATAATTTTTTTTGTTGGAATAATGCAAGTTGCAATGTAATGTACGTTGTCTCACTCTGCACAATATAATAATTTCATTGCATTTGTATCTTTTGTTCTGTAATCGTATAGCTGCCAACTATCGTAGTGGTTGTTTGATTAACTTGCGGAAAATGAAGTGATTTTTCCAAAACTCTATTTCGCCCCTGGCAAACTCCATTCGCAGTATCATATATCATACGGCATATTAGTAGATTCGGTAATAATGAAGCAGAGATATGAAGTGTCCATATAAATCACTTTGAAACTATCTACGCTATATAATCTGCGATTTTATGCATATTAAATAAGTTGAAAAGTTGTCACGATTTTAGAACAATAGTCAACCATACTAATATGCCCACTTAGCTGTGAAAATCCATTAATAACTATAGGGTCTTTGATGAGCGCCGTGAGGTATTGTTATCATTTCTATTAACGAGCGCATTGATGAGACTGTAATTTGGCATACATGGTGGAAAAGCTGAATAACTTACGGTTAACATTTCTCATCAAATTCATGATAGTTTTTATTTGGAAGATCGTTACGGTAGAACTAACGTGACAGCCTAAGATAAACATTTCCGCAAAGCTGTTCGATGCACACCTAGCCGTCTCCCTGCAACTGTTTGAATGCAATTTCTTATGTCAAATTTCGTTTTTTGCGAAATTCATATTGTGCACTAACTAGTGGCTTCAGATTGCAACTTAACCGACTGCATAGCGTAGGTGTGGAAACATGCGGAGATTTATAAGACACCCTGGGAAAAGCTATAGGGTGGTACCGCCTCGGTCGACTGGTACTTGTCTACCACCTTCTTTTTGCGTGTTAATGATATTAAATAGACATAAAGTGGCCCGTTGGCGGACTTGTACAGCCACCCGGCAATCGGTACTGAGGTATTCCTTAACGCGTGTACAATGTAAGGGAAGAAGTTGTATGCTGGATACAACAACTTCCGGAACAAGCATTTGCCACCGCTCCGCTCAGTACGGGTTGGGGTTTTTGAAATTCAATATAGATGTTACAGTTATTTTTCAGACTTTCGTTGTCGAACTTAGATTTACGGCATAGTTGTTTTCTCAGTTTTCGAGCCGGTGTTGGCCCATGTAGAAATGTTGGAAAAAGCTATCTGTTAGATCGTAATTATTTTGATAATGTATGTTTGTACTAAACAAGTACAGGAATACAGGGCTGTACGTATTCACGTATAGTACAGCATCTCGGTGATTTAAACGAATTCAATATAGCAACATAAATAGACACATACGCGAGAAGAGATGCGGGACGTGTGGTATTGATTTTGAGCATTGATCGACGCAGTTTCTAGACAGGCCCCAACTCCGAACAGAATCAGTCAAGCTTTACATGCTTTTCAAATAAATATTGAGCAACAAACAGAACATAAATCACTTTTTAAGTGCATTCTGTATAGCTAATATATTACCCAGACATAGATTTGTCACAAGTCACAATACTCGTATATACGTAAGAGTTGTGCTGTAAACAAGTGATGTCAAAGAGGGACAGCATTTGGAATACCAAAAAATCATAATGCTCAGTTCCTATAGCTATAACTTATGGTTTGTATGCCTCTGTCACCTAGATGTGATACAAAGCAGCACAATGGTGTTAGATTGCAAAAGCAAATGTCGGACGTCTAAATCCGCCAGTGATCTGTTCAGTTACTTAAAAATATGAAATTTTTGAATTTGTTCCAGAGAAAAAAAGGAAACCTTCGGGTTTTCGCATAAAAATAACAATTATCTTTCGGAATGGCTTGTGATTCATGTCAGCAAGGTAAAGTCGTGTATTTTGCTATAAAATGTATGTTGAACGAACCGTGTATATTGCTCAATAAACTAGTAGTGATGGCCGTCAGGCAGGTGTTTTGGGATAAACATTTAGAAATTCTCAAACACTTCGTGACCAATCGACTCCAATTTTGTTGTAGTTAGAAGTAAGAAGCCTACGAATTTAAAGAATTTCACGTAGCTGCGTGAAATTATCGTCGCATTAGCAGCAAGTGCTAAAACCTGCAGCTTGCCTCGGCTTTCAGCCATAACTTTTTTACTTTAGTGGGATCTTTTTACGAGTGGTTTCATTCTGTAGGTCTCATAAATACCTAAAAGTCTTATTTGAGTTTTTCCATTCCTGCCAACACTTTAGATTGAATCCCAAAAAATACGTTTTCTCATTTTTTGTTGTCAAATAAAAAGTTTTCCCACAAAAATTGGTGTACCCATTTTAAGCGTCCATCTTTTAAATAACTCCTTGGACAAGTTGCATCAATAAAACTAGACTTTACAATAATTTCGTCAAATATGATTCTACTATCACATCGTATTCCAGAAGTATACTCTAGTAGTATCCTTTAAGCCTGCAACCCCCAAACCTTGTTAGAGAAATGCGTGTTGCAGTAGTGATTATCACCAAAACGACCGGTGTCTGTAAGACAGACTTAGTGACCATGACATTATATTCAAAATTGTAAAAGGAACTTCACCTAATTGCGTAGCTGCACTCCTGCGAAGAATCAATGAAATGAATACCTGTTACACCAGAACTAACTCCTATTTTCATTTAATTAAAACCAATAAAGTGTGAACAATAAAAAAAATCATCTACAAAGGTCTGAGGAATATGATAATCTACCAAATCTAATAAACGATGGAGAGAAAGCATTTGTCATGCATACAAGAAATAGCAATATTTAGATTTAATATAATTGGATTTAATTGAATTTGTTTTTTTTATTGTGAGCCACCAATTGTTGCTTGCTGTTTGTTATAAGTTAGGACTTCTAAATACGAGTTGATACTTCAACTATTAAAATTTCCAATTGAAAAAATCAGATTGCCCTAGCACTGTTTTCTATCAATCAGAACTTATTTATCTCACATATTAAAAATTACAAGTTTACAAAAGAAAGCGCCTCTAAGCCGTCGGTATGGTATCCGTCTGCTACTTAGCCTAAGCCAGTTATGATTGGGCTCTCAGAAGGAGAGTAATACTAATTTATTTGTGCCAGATATCTGGCAGGAACGATCTCTTTGTATTTGTGGGAGCATCCGATGGTCTTAAGGCAGCTATGATCAGATCTGCCCTGCCCGCGTGGCTTCTTTGTAAAGCCACGCGAGGAGAGAGATTGCACTTTCAGTCCTTATGGAGGGTTGCAAGAAATTGTGTTGTCCACTCCTTTGATACCCTGGCTCGTGAAGGACTGAGTGGACAGGTAGGCCTGTGATTGGTTGTTCCTGTAGCTTAATTAGCATTTTCTGGTATAATGGCGCGATCTGGATTTGATGAACGATTTAACACACACAAGTAGTCTGCTGACTGTGAAATAATAGTTCCCATTGTTTTATCATATTTTCTGAAAACTGAATAATGTATAAGCTGACTGCTATATCATTAATTAACGTTCTATTTTGTTGTAGACCTCATACGAACTCCCGCAATTACATGGATGCCTTGCTGGCTTTTTGGCCAGGTCTGCAAGTTCTCAAAGGTGACCTGAAACCAGCTGTCGAAACGCACGAAATGCTTTACCAAGTCATGCAACGCCACAAGTTCATCCCGGAGGCGTTCACCACCGATTTTCAAGTACATTGGGGCAACCACCCGCTAAGGCCCGAGTTCTTGGAGTCCACCTATTTCTTATACACGGCTACGGGAGATCCTTACTATCTAGAGGTCGGGAAAAATGTGTTGAAAAGCTTACAGAAATACGCCAGGTGAGAACTTAGTAAAATCATTGATTGACATATTCTCCTAGAAGATACCAACCCTATGCCGTATTTGCACTTTTGCATACAACTTCCAACAATGTTACCAAATAGGATCACAGTAATTATCCATTTTCTTTAAAAAAAATTATTGAGCCAATCGTTACACTTCTTTAAAAACTTTCAAAATAGGCTCCTTTTGCGTCGATGCAGCGCTGCCAGCGCGATTTCCAAGCATTGAAGGCGTCACGGAAGGTATTCTCCGGAATAGCCTTGAGAGCCGCGGTGCATGCTGCTTGGATCCCCTCTGTCGTCTCAAAATGCTTGCCTTTCATCGGCTTTTTCAGGCGAGGAAACAAAAAAAAGTCCGGGGGGCACATCTGGGCTGTAGGGCGGCTGCGGAAGCGTTAGGATGTCGGCCTTGTTCAGGTAGCTGTTCACAAGAAAGGCGATGTGAGCCGGGGCGTTGTCGTGGTGCAACTTCCAGTCGGCTGCGATGTCTTGTCGGACCCGACTGACCCTTCGTTTGTGTCTCCTGAGCACTTCCACGTAAAACTTGGCGTTGACGGTTTGTCCAGGAGGAACAAATTCATGGTGGACGATGCCTTTGATGCCAAAAAAGACAATGAGCATCGTTTTCACTTTGGATTTGCTAATTCTTCCCTTTTTTGGGCGAGGAGACGCCGTCGTGTGCCACTCGGAAGATTGCCTCTTTGACTCGGGATCATACTCAAAGATCCACGACTCGTCACCTGTGATTCCGTTATTCAAAAATTGGGGGTCACTTTCACACATGTTCAAATTTTCTTGTCACACTTCCACTCGCCGCAATTTCTGGTCGTCAGTGAGCACTTTTAGGACCATCTTCGCGCACACCTTGCGCATGTTCAAATGCTGTGTCACAATGTCATGAACCACAGATTTTGGTAAATTTAACACTTGGACAATTCAACGAATACTTAGTCGAGTTCAAAACTTTGCGCACACGAGTCACATTATCGGTGTTTGTCGAAGTCGAAGGTCTTCCAGCACGGTCTTCATCAGCGACCTCTTCCCGGCCCTCCAAAAAGGCCTGGTGCCACCGAAACACACCTCTTCTTGCTAAAGCAACACCTGGGTAAGCCTGCTTGATCATATCAAACGTCTCTGTCGCAGATTTACCGAGTTTCACACATAATTTAATCGCGTACCTCTGCTCTAACGAACGCTGCATTTTCGGCTTGCACCACTCACAGAAACACGTCACGCGAAAATGCCTGTCCTGACTCTCCAAGTGCTCGGAGACAACTGACCAGCCGCTCATTCGTTAGCTAGGAACGCACTCTACCGAAGCCAGTCGGTGCGTGCACGCTCCGAAGTACAGTCATGGCGGAAGAAAATGAGTCCTATTACTTTCCGGACAGTCCCTGTAGTTATTGACTGTGTAGCATGGACTTCAATAGTTTGATGTATCAGACGTAGAAAACAACTGACGCTGATGGAATCATCAGTAAATATTGACTTATCGAACCACAGTAAATACTGGTCGAGCGCCATCCGTCTAAGCCATCGTATTCTGTTTTCTCAAAGACGGTAAAACATTTCAAAACCTGCTGCAATAGTCAATGCTGGCATCAAAAGATAGGTGGTGGTCGCCATATATACAGGGTGTCCTAGAAGTCAACATCAAGGCGAAAAAGGGAAATAGGCCAAGTCATACTAGCCATCAGAAAAATATAAAAACATTTAAGTCGTGTGAAATTTATTGTAAGACGTGTCACTAAGCAATTGGAGATTCATGTGGTACCAGCAATACGGGCTCCCCGGCGCACTACGGGATATGGCGGTCTGGTACAATTTCGTGGCCATCCCGTTCACCTGACGTGAATCCACTCGCTTTTTTTGCAGTGGAGCGGTGAAAGAAAAAGTTTACTCAAAGCCAATCAAAAATTTAGCTGAGGTACGGGACAGAATAACGGAAGCGGCTGAATTTGTTAATAACGAAAGATTCCGTCTGATAACCCGATCATTTTTAAGATGTCAAGCTTGCATTGCTTCTGAAGGTATGCAGTTTGAAGAATCATTGTGAATTTAATAAATACATTCACCAATTATTAAAAGTGGCGTTACTATCTGTCTTGATGCCACTACGCAGAATGACACTGTCCTTCACTCAGTCTAAAAAAGAATTGAAATTTGTAGTAATGGAAACTAAAAGATCATCACAGGGTGTAGATTTTCTCGATATTTTTATAGCCTATAATTTGAAAAGTACACGACTTAGATGTTTTTTATATTTTTCTGATAATTATTATGACTTGAATTCTGGCTTGACGTCAACTTCTGGAACACCCTGTATGAGCGATTCGCTTTCAACTGAATCAGGTAGCTTCTGGTGGAATGTGTTTATCAAACGTAAAATTATCAATTGCTGGGTCCTTCACTAATACTGCAATTTGGGGTAATAACAGAGTGCCTTGTGGTTACGCCGCTGTGAACGACGTAACAACTGGAAAACAAGAAGACAGGATGGACTCGTTTGTACTAGCAGAGACGTTGAAATATCTGTTTCTCTTATTCGCTGACAAGGATGAAATAGTTTTGAATTTGGACGAGTTCATTTTTACTACAGAAGGACACTTACTTCCCTTGAGCCTCTCTGGTCATACAGCAAATGGTAAGTATTTGAATGTTAGCTTATCTGCAACGTATATGTTTTTATTTTTTGTGTTCAATTTTTTATAGTTTCCAAAAATCACGAAACGGAAATTCACGACGAGATGTCCATGAGCTGTCCGAACACTCTCAGCCTGTTTCCAGAGTCTTTCAGGAAACCGTTGCAGAATATGGTGGACGGCATGTGTCCCAGAAGACATCCGAGAAGAAGGTTGACAGCTGCGGAGTTTTCGGCTGCAAATATTAATCATCTGAAGCTGATCAAAGAAATGGGGATCAACATTGTTGCGATGAGCGATGGACGCGTGCAATTATTACATACATTTTCTTCGGTGAGTTTCTAAATTGTTTTTGACATGTTGTACAGACGTTTAATGCGCGTTGGTGCTGTGGCTCGACATCATGGCCTCCGCCTCGAGTTCTCCATTCACATTATTCATGAATGTAGATACCCAGATCCTCAACGCGATACTGTGCCTGACAGAATAGTACAGGATCCTTATTAAGCTCGGACTTTCACCCATCTGACGACGGAAGTAATTTTTTATTAAATAAGTTATGTTGAAAAAGCACTGGTGATAGAAATACAAAAAAGTATTTTTTGTGTTTGGTTAATTGGTTGAAATTACTGCGCTTTTCGAATATATGTATGTTATTAGGCTTTTCGTGAAATACTTTTGGAAGCGTACAAATTGTAAATAATACATGTACATTCGTATATTAACAGACAGAAGCAGATTTTATAAAATATGACGGACCTCAGTCGATATCAAGTTTCCGATCCAGTACCTAGAAAACGTAATTTTTTTGACGCATAATTTTTATCTTTAACAAGCCTTATAAGAGAGACAAAATTCATCGGTGGCCTTAGATACATTGCCAAAATTACCTATTACCCTTACAATATTTGATCAAAAACAGTCTGCAAAGAGTTGGCAGTACTGACAGCTGCCACCTACTAATAATTCGCCAAGGCTTAATACATCTTCAGCCCAACCGCTGAAAATGACATAAGCCTTTCCCGCCATACTGCGCCATTGCTGTTAGCCTTGACGACACATTCTATTGCTGCTGATTGATGGATCGTCCTACTAATGATTGGGACAAAATCTATCCATTCTTGGAAAGGTATGCACCGAAGATGTATCAAGCTTTGCCGAAGTATTTGTAGGCGCAGTTGTCAATGTTGTTGTTCCCTCATTGCATATAACATACCGAGTTTTTTTAGTAGACCTTACCGCTTTTCCGATTACAGAAGGGGTGGGTTTGCCAGCGTTAACGTCACTGCGACCCAAATGGATCTATTGTGATCACCATATATGCTTTCTAAAAGACTATACTCAGCTTTGATCCCTTAATCAGACTCCATAGCCTTAACACAGGGTTTTGTTTCCCGCTGTTGGACCTTTGGTTCCTACTTGACAAGCCTTCACAGTGACACAGAAGTTTCCTCATGCCCTGTGTAACAACGGCTTCTGCCAGAACCAAGAATATGTCGATTTAGACGACAGTGTCCTGTCAGGAGACTCACTATGGCTCTTATGACCTTCCTGTTAAATCCGAGTAGGTCCTCTGTAAATGCGGCCCTTCGTTCTTTGATATACTCTTTTGCCTCCCTTTGCCCCAATTTTTCCACCAACATAGGGACTTTTTCTTGGTCCTCTTACTTATGGACTGTTTAGTGTTCTGGACCTATAAGGGGATTGGCCGCACCCTGTCGGGCTAGCTCATCCGCCTTTTAATTTCCTGGTATCCTGAGCAGTGTTGGACCTTAACTTTTTGTGAAATACTGTAGTTGAATCTGACAGATGTAATCTACTATGTGCAACCACCACAGCAGTTCGGTGCAACTCGTTGCCTATATTCAGTTTTTTAATTCTGTGATTGCGCTGAAATTCAAGGAAGCAAACACATTCTTATTTTGCATTGTTTATTGAAATGAAAATTGAAATTCTCGAACGTTCCTCAGGGAAGCGTCATTGTTTCACTGTTTCCAGGGGGAAATCCATTGTTTACAAGGAAGCCTCAAATCTTAAGGAAGTTCTATAAATCTGACTCTAAAACAATTTTAGCTAATGGTTTGTTAGTTTGACACCAGGCAACTAGATGTTTTAAAGAATTTGTAAAACGAGTCGGAAACGTCATGGTGGTATCTGGTGTAGTGAAAAATTCTAAACACACCTCATTTGAGAGGGTCATTATTGATTTCGCTCATCATATCCTCCGGTGCTATGCGCCTTATGTTGTAAAATACCCACCCAATAAGGGTCATCTCTCAACGTAGATATGTAATGTAATTCTTAGGCACGCTCTGCGATGGACGCCGAGGAAGGCCTATTGTTCATGCAGGAAATGGTCGAGTTGGCCAAACTGCAATCCCAGCAGCCAGAACCAGTGGCACAAGCAGTAACTATACCTCTGAAGGACCATCTCGGCGAAGAACAGATCATCGTGCTTCAAGCTGGCCCGAGTCAGTTTGGAAGAAATTTGAAAGGCGATGAAAAAGTAACAGCGGAAGCTGTCATTGTTCATCCCTTTAAGGGCTGTGTGGATCTGTGGGTACCCGAAGTGGTCAAGGATAAAATAGCCATCATGGAGAGGGGAGATTGCATGTTCATTGACAAAGTTAGAAAGGTAACTCGACTCATATTTTCATTATTGTACTGGGTGTTACAAAGTGTCAGGAAAACTGAAGGGCAGATTCAGTATGACAAAATATCAAAAAAGTTAATGTGAACATAGTTTCTGAATTGCATCGTTTCCATAATATGGATTTTCAACTTGTACGTCATCAATCTTATTAAATTTGTCGATCGAGAT